GGGGGGGGAATCATCATTTGGAAATGGCATGGAAAAGTTTTGGATAATGAATTCCCTCCTCTTGCTAGTTGAGAAGTTATATTTTTAGAAATTAGAGGATAATATGTTCTTAGGGAAAATATTTAAGGCGACCAAACATGGAAAAATTAGATGAGAATGTATTCCACCATACCAACACACCGTAGGTCTTAAGTCGAGCCATATTATATTGTCTTATCCTTTTTTTCTCATTATGCAAGCTTTGCAAAAGCATAGATATTTAGCTCTTAATATATACCTTCATGAACATTCTCAAATCTCAAAATAATCGTGTGCATAGTTGTTATATTGTTGTTTAGCAGTTAACCTTCCACATAATAACTTATAAGAACATGAAATACTTCATATTGTAGTAACAAGAAATCCCAAGTCGCCTTTTTTTTTTGTTTTGATAGACTATCTGCAACCAAATAGTGTAATCCCTGTTTGTACAGCATGATCAGTAGCCTATCTTCATGCATTCTTTTCCTTCCACTTAATTTACAGTCTATAGTATCCTTATCAGTGATCACATCTATCACATGCACTTTTCAGATCTCTTTTGCCTGAAACTTATATTCACTCAAGTTCAAAACAAAGTTGTCCTTGGCTTTTATATTTTGGATCTTTGACAAAATAAACTATTCAAAACGTCAAATTCTATTTGGATATTTCTAACTTGTTACTAATTATGTTGAGTTAGCTATCTATTATTCACCATTAATTGCATCAATATTTGTCATCGTAGAAGTGACTCTCTTATACTGAGAGAATATCTATCTTTTTGTAAATTTCTGAGTAGGCCTAAAATTGTTTAGAGAGAAATGCCATGGCTGACAATCTTGAAAGAAGCCATGAGTGGAAAAAAGAAGGTGAAACTTTGACAAAAGACATCACAAGTTTAATTAAATTGAAAAAAGTAAAACAGGTTGGCTTAAAATGTTGCAGTGGAAATCTCTTAATAGTGATAGAGATGATTTTGTTGTTCTATCTTGAACTTAGGTAGCTTCATTGATGTACTTCTCTCAGGATCAAATTTACAAGGCTATATACTATGATCAACATAAAGGAGGCATTACCCCTGGTTCATATTGCATATATTTGAGTAGTATTCCGTGCTCTGTTTTAATGTTTTGGGAAGTATTAATGTTGGAGTTCAACTTTGGCGCACTATTAATGTAAAACTTCTACTCCATCACCCATTGTGATAGGTAAAAGATGGATCCGGCTCTTCTACATATCACACTGTCTCCATTTCCTCAAGTTTTTACTTGGATGGGTGACACATATATTCTTCTTTTTTTGAATCAACATAAAAGAGCCATTGCTACTGATTTCTTAGTGCAAATTTTTGAGTAGTACTGCTTGCTGTGTTTTAATGCTTTGAGAAGTATTCATGTTGAAGTTTAATTTCCACCCTCTGATAGTGTAAAACTTTTATTCCATTAGACTAAAGGTAACTGTTTGTAATAAAGCCTAATTTGGCAGCCTAAAAAACAACTAAGTAATAATCTCATGTAATAGGTAAAAGATGGATCTGGCTCCTCTCCATTTCCCTAATTTCTTACTTATATAGATGATGTAGGTCTCATTTTAAAATCAATGATTTGATTTAATTAACTAAAGCAAGGTCTTGACCATGGTTAGTATAATAGATATTGCATATATTTGCTCCCAAACAATTCGTCAATCTGATAATTTTTTTGACACTATTGTCAGGGATAGTCTGCACGCACCTCCACTATTCCATTGGGTACATACAATCCCACAATTTTAGCACCAGATTTCCTCATCCATAAATATATTAAAGACATCCATTTCTAAAGCATCCCAATTGTACATATTTTTCCTATTTTATACATTTAACAGTTAGAATTTCCTATTTCAACAGCCATTTGCCAAAATTAACCCCAGCACATGGATCTTACAATATTTTAGTTAGAGGTTGTTTGGTAAGGTGTATAAGAATAGTATTAAATAAGGTGTATTAGTAATGCATGGATTAGTAATGCAAGCATTAGTTATGCAGAGATTGTTTCTTATCCACTGTTTGGTTGTTTGGTGTGGCGTATTAAAAATTAAAATGCATTGCTCCATATTCTTTAGCTTTAAGGGACTTTAAGGATAATTTTATCTTTAACTATGCTAATGCATGCATTAATAGCCTTGGTATTGCTAATACCATATCTTGCTATGTATTAGTTATACTAGTATCTATGAACGTGCGTTGCAAGTTAATAATGACACGTGATTGTTTAAATATTTATTTATATGAAGGAACAATAAAATTTAATTAAAGAGACAAATTTTATATATAATAATATAACAATCATCTAAATGCCGAAAAATATTATTATACATAATACATGAATTTAAAATAAAAGGACATCATCAAAACTTACACAAATGATCAATTTTATCATGTTAGTTAGATATTATGTACTATTATAGTTTAAAAGTATTTAATATGCTAGTATATTAACGAACACTTCTTTGTGGATAATATTTTTTTGTGTATGTTTTCTCCTAATGCTTTGGTTGCTCTACCTTAACCAAAATTCTTGTTGTCGATCTCGATATACCTCTTGAAAGTGTAACATACAGTTGTTCGTGCAAAAAAATATTGCTGTAAATATAGTCCAATATTTAGGATATTTGTCCTTATGCTTTATTTGTTATATTTGCAAAACATAAACATACCAATAATTATTTTCACACAAATTTAAAAGAATATTCCTTAGTTTCGGAAAACAAAAGTTGAATTGAGGGATAAGAATATACTTAGAAGCACATTGACCAGTATCATAATTTTTGCATGTATGATGTTATTGTCAAAACTTCTTATATACCATTTGTGTGTTATTACATAAGTTATTCGGCGTATCTAAGTTTTCTAGTAGCATGACGGACAAGTTTTGTTTTCAAAATTAACTTATATAATGGAAGATCAACTTTAACCTAGTCTATTATATATACGGTGACGCTAACATACGTAAGAAATATTAAACTTGAAAACAAACATGTATGGTAGAAGGTCATTTGGTATTAAAATATTTAAGTATTCTTCTTGGTAGTAATTATTGGTATCATTTCTGCTGAGTCAAATTTGAAAAAACATTTTATTTTTATTATAAAATTTTGCAATCAGACTTTTATTTAGTTCATCACATATTCATTTCTGCTAGCTAAGATATCTTTTCAATTCTATCATGTGATTTGCACAAATTGCGTTTTAATCTTATGATATAAATATTTCTCTTATTAAATGCATTACTATTTGTGACGACCCAAAGGGTCATCACCTGCTTTCTTACCCATTATGTGCTTTCTAGGCTTCGAAAACCTCATTTAGAGTCGCCTCAAGTTGCGTGCGCAGTCCGAGCGCGTAGCCGGAAAGCTTAAATATGAAATTCTGTGAAAAATGCTA